TGTTTTAAGTTGTGAAAGTATGGTAACACATTTACCCGAGACTTGGAAAACACAGAATAAAGTTACATGTAATTCCACTACATATTACAATTTTTAAAAATTTATGTTTAAGTGGAGGATAATTGCCTTATAAGGCTGTGTTCGTTTCTGCCATATATCAACATGAATTGGCCTAGGTATACATATGTCCCCTCTTGAACTTCCCTCCCACCTCCCACCGCATCCCACCCCTCTAGCTGTCACAGAGCACCGGGTCGGAGCTCCCTGCATCATAGAGCAAATTTCCACTGGCTGTCTGTCACATGTGGTAATACACATGCTTCAGTGCTGCTTTCTCAGATGGCCCCACCTCCCCGTTCCCCACCGAGTCCACAGGTCTGTTCTCTGTGCCTCGTTTGCTGCCTTGCACACGGCTCATCAGCACCATCTTCCTAGGCTCCATATACACGTGTGTGTTAGTATATAATCTTTGTCTTTCTCTTTCTGATTTACTTCACCCATATAATAGGCTCTAGGTTCATCCACCTCATTAGAACTGAGTCAAATGCCGTCCTTTTTATGGCTGAGTAATATTCCATTGTGTATATGTATCACAGCTTTCTTATCCATTTGTCTGTTAATGGACATCTAGGAATAATTATTTTTAAAGTAGATAAATTAAGATTTTTAGTTGGAGTTTCAATATCAAGGACTCAAAAATTAATAGAATAAATATACAGAGAAGTAGAAGGATATAGCAAACCTGAGAAGCACTATGAACCAATTCAACATAATTAAGATTTATACAATTTTCACACAGCAGTAGGATACAAATTCTATTCAAGGTCCCAAAGACTATGAACTAGGAGATACCAAAACATATCTGGGGACATAAAACCAGGTGCAAAAAACTCATGGTCTAAAGACTGAAATCATACAGAGTCTGTCCTATCACTGTGAAATTATGTCTGTTTTCTTAACGCACATTCTTATTGCTATAAACTTCCCTCTTAGAACTACTTTTGCTACATCACGGACGTTTTAGAATGCTGTCCTTCCATTTTCACTTGTCTCTCAACACTTTAAAATGTCTTTTTTATTCTCCTTTGACCCATTTCTTGCTCAGTAGCCTGCTATTTCATCTCCATGTATTTGTGAATCCTCCATTTTCTTCTTGCAATTGACTTACAGTTTCATTTCACTGTGGTTGGAGAAGATAGTTGATGCAACTTCAATTTTCTTAATTTGTTGACCTATTTTGTGGATCTATCTATCCTGAAGCATGTTTCATGTGTACTTGAGAAGAACGTGTAGTCTGCTGCCACTGGATGAAATGTTCTATTGAAATATATGTCCTTTGGGTCCACCAGGTCTAATGTGCAATTTAAGCACAATATTTATTTATTGACTTTCTGTCTGGATGATCTATTTGTTGTTAAAAGTGAGGCATTGCTGGTATTAATATTATTAGTATTGCATGCTATTATGGTATTGTTCTTTATTTCTCCTCTCAGATCTGTTAATATTTGCTTTATATATTTAGTTGTTCCAATGTCAGATGCATAAATATTTACAACTGTTATGTCCTCTTGATAAACTGACTCCTTTATCATTATATAATGACCTTTTTTATCTCATTGAAGTCTTTGGCTTGATGTCTATTTTTTCTGACACGTGTATATATAAAGTCTTCTATTTTTAAGTTTTCACTGCATGTAGTATCTTTTTCTGTCCCTTCACTTCCACCCTACTTCTGTCCTTAAAGCTGAGATGAGTCTTTTGGAAGCAACATACAGTTGGACCTTATTTTTTTTAATCCATTCTGTCATTCTGTCTTTTGATTGAAGAATTTAATCCATTTACATTTAAAGTAATCATCAATGAATATGGACATACTGCCGTCATTCATTCATTATTTTCTGGTTGCTTTGTGTTCCCTTGAGTCTCTACTCCTCTTTGACCTCTGTGCTCAGCCCAGGTGGACAGCCAGGTCAGTCCTTGCTCACCAATTAAGAATTGCTTCTCTGTTCGCTAAAGTTCTGTGGGTCTCAAGGGCACAGGTCCTGTTGACTTTCAGAGCTAGTTGATTTGGTGGCCTGGCCCTCCGGTGGGAGTGTTGAAAGCTGGGGCACCAGATGTGGAATCTAAACGTTTTCCTCTTCGTGGGGAAGGTGGGAGGTGGGAGCTCTCTCCAGAACGTATGGCCCGGGACCAAAGACGAGAGGGTCTTGCGCCCGGGACCAAAGACGAGAGGGTCTTGCCTTTGCTACCAAATTAGAAGTGGGTATGTTCTCCAGGACTCTTGCCTGGAAAATCCCATGGACAGAGGAGCCTTGTAGGCTGCGGTCCATGGGGTCGCTAAGAGTCGGACACAGCTGAACGACTTCACTTTCACTTTCACTTTCACTTTCATGCATTGGAGAAGGAAATGGCAACCCACTCCAGTGTTCTTGCCTGGAGAATCCCAGGGACGGGGGAGCCTGGCGGGCTGCCGTCTATGGGGTTGCAAGGAGTTGGACACGACTGAAGCGACTTAGCAGCAGCAGCAGCAGCAGGGTCTCACTTCCCTAAAGAACAGGCGTCCCTCAGCCAGTCTCTGGACCTGTTTCCAAGGGAACTGCCCCCCGAGCAGCTGCGAGCCTGGCGTGCCTGCGAGAGGACGGGAGGCAGGAGTCTCCAGCGTCGCCGCCCCTGCTGGCTCCGGCCTTGCCGTCCTTCTCAACACGCTCCTGTGCTGGCGCACCGGGAAACACCTCCCACTCTGCAGACCTTGATCTGACTTCCTGCACATCCTGGTTTTCTCAAATACACCTTGATGTTAGCAAAACTTTTGAATACCCTTCTGAATTAACTGGTAAAATGTAGGATGAATGAATACTACCCTTAGGTAGATTCTTGGCTGATTGAATCACTACGTACGCCTAGAAAGAGGGAGTGATTTTTTTCGGTGTGGAAACGATTAGTGAAATGTTATGGGGGTACACGGATCTTTCACTCAGAATTATTGTCAATCAATGACTCGGATACAGGTAGGAAAGAAACACATCGAACTTGCTGATTTGTAAGATCTGAGATGGGTAAGTACTAGTGTAGATAATGCTCAAGATTCTGTGTTATTTCATGTGGTTGGAATTCTGCATGGAAAGCAGCAAGACACAGAAGAACATGATAAACACGTGGACTGCAGGCCACGTCCTGACTGATGTCTGGCAGAGATGCGATGTGAGTCACATACATAATTTAAACCTTTCTAGTAGTCACCCTTGAGAAGGTCAAAGGAAACTGGGAAAAGAAAAGCAATCTTCAAAATTTTTAACTCTAGGGACTTCCCTAGTGGTCCAGTGGTTAAGGCTTTGCCTTCCACTGCAGGATGTGTCAGTTCAATCCCTGGTTGAGAAACGAAGCTCTCACATGCCTTGTGGCCAAAAAACCAAACTATAAAAGAGAAGCAATAGCGTAAGAAATTCAATAAAGGCTTTAAAAATGGTCCACATCAAAAAAATTTTTTTAATAATTTATAACAGTATATCCATAATGTAATTATTCCAACATGTAACCAATATAAAAATTAATGAAATATTTTATCATTTTTGTACTAAGTCTTCAAAAGCGTATGTGCATTGGATATTTATAGCACATCTCAATTTAGACTAACCACACTTCAGATGTTCCACTGCAAATCAAGAAACTGATACATGTAAAAGTTATCAAATAAATGTAACTGATCATGTAAAGCAATTATCCTCCAATTAAAAGTTGTTATTTAATCACTAAGTTCTGTCCAACTCTTTGAGACCCTATGGATTGCAGCACGCCAGGCCTCCCCGTCCTTCACTATCTCCCAGAATTTGTTCAAACTCATGTCCATGGAGTTGGTGACGCCATCCAGCCATCTCATCCTCTGCCGTCCCCTTCTCCTCCCACTTTCAGTCTTTCCTAGCATCTGCATTTTCTTCAGTGAGTCATCTCTTCCAGTCAGGTGGCCAAAGTACTGGAGCTTCAGCTTCAGCCTCAGTCCTTCCAATGAATAGTAAGGGTTGATTTCCTTTAGGATGGACTGGTTTGACCTCCTTGCTGTTCGAGGGACTCTCAGGAGTCTTCTCCAGCACCAGTATGAAAGCATCAGCTCTTCAGCACTCAGCCTTCGTTACCATCCAACTCTCACATCTGTACATGACTACTGAAAACCATAGTTTTGACTAGGTGGACCTTAAAAATAAATAAAATTTTTAAAACAATGATAAAAAAATCATGAAAATCTGAAATTTTTAAAAAAAAATGTGAAAGTGAAAGTCACTCAGTCATGTCCAATTCTTTGCAACCCCATGGACTGTATAGTCCATGGAATTCTCCAGCCCAGAATACTGGAGTGGGCAGCCATTCTCTTCTCCAGGGGAATTTTCCCAACCCAGGGATCGAACCCAGGTCTCCCGCACTGCAGGTGGATTCTTTACCAGCTGAGCCACAAGGTCAGCCCAAAGGAAAAAAATGTGAAAGTGAAAGCGAGGTCGCTCAGTCGTGTCCGACTCTTTGTGACCCAATGAACTGTAGCCTACCAGGCTCTTCTGCCCATGGAATTTTCCAGGCAAGAGTACTGGAGTGGGTTGCCGTTTCCTTCTCCAGGGATCGAACCCAGGTCTCCCGCATTTCAGGCAGACGCTTTACTCTCTGAGCCACAAGGCCGGCCCAGGGCAAAAACCTGTAACCGATTACATGTTTAATGTAAGCCACTATAATAGGTAATCCAAACTTGGGTGACGCTAGTTATGCGGTGTATTAACTATGTGTTGCCAAAATAACACTGTAAAAAAACTCCGCACTGAAACCTCAGGGGGATGTAACACTAACCGTGTATTATTGCTCCCAAGCCTGCAGGTCAGCCAGCTGGTTCCTGACGGGGCCAGAGGTGACCGAGCCACGCCTGCCCCAGCCAAGAGGTCAGCCAGTGCTGACCAGTTCAGGGTGGCCTTGGCCGAGGCGGCCTGCCCGCAGGTACCCGCGTGTCCTCTTGTCCTCCCCAGCGTCGCCTGAGCCGCCTGCAGGGGAGGGGACGCTTCCGACAGGACGTCTCAGAGGCTGGGCTCAGGACTGCACTCCATCCCTTTGCCACATGCGCCAAGGCAGGCTCACCGGCCGGGAAGCCGAGCCTGCCTCCCGGTGGGGAGTGCGTGAGACCAAATCACACCACATCACTCCAGGGATGCTGGAGCCTGATGTTTGGGGGTGCTGGTGCCGTCGGGCCCTCTCGGCGCTGCGTCACGGGTGTGTCTGCCGAGCAGACGGGGGTCACTCCTTCCAGACCTGGGCACCGTGTCTTAGAAGTGACAGGCGGTGCAGTCAGGAAGGCCGCGTGGACGGCAGAGCCCGTGGGTTGGGCCCCTGGATCAGGACTTACAGGAACGCTCTGCGTTTGGTTCCAAAGCGAGAAGACGGCGGACAGCCCGAGAGCTGTCGTCAAACTGTAAAGGGCAAACCTGGGGAGGGAAGGAAGAGTCTTGTTCTCAGTTCCCCAAAGAGGTTGTGAGGGTTAATTCTATGCCAGGAACTGGGCCGGATGTATAGACAGAAGTAGAAGAAGGGAAGTTTCCGTAGATACCGGCTCACCCTGGAGAACTTTCTAATAAATGGAAAGAATCGTTACAGCCAGCTAACTCACCTGCCGCAGGTGAGCGCTGAAGCTGGGGGCTGCGTCAGGGGAGTCCCGTCCCCGGTGTGGGCCACATGGCTGCCCTCGGAGGGGCCCTCGGCTCTCAGCTCTCGAGGCCCGCCAGACGTTTTGGCTGTTTGATTCGTGGGGACCCCGCGGAACATGCTTCGTGCCCATAGACACATGCAGAACCACAGAGTGCCCCAACCAGCGATGGACGACCAGCGTTAAGGGCAGCCCCAAGCCGCCTGGTGTCTGGTCCTTTGTTCCGTGGGAGGAAAGGGTGAAAGGGTACAGGAGGTCCCGTGGGATGACGAGATAAACTGGGAGAGAGACAGCTGCGGGTGCTGACCCGCGCAGTTCGCCCAGTCCCCAGGCCGCAGCCCCGAGACGCCGTCCCGCGCGCTGGGCTCCCGGGGCAGTTGCCCTGCTCCTGCGGCCGCAGAGGGCTTTGTGGGAGCGGCAGGAGCATCACGCCGATCTGTTCCTGTTTCCTGCAGGTACAAATGCCGGGAACCTGGGAGAAATTCAAGGGAACCTGCTGCAGATCCAAGGCCACCACAGCGTACGCTGGAGGAAGGACCGAGCTGGAGACACGGTCACTTTAAGGTGGACCGTCTCCCTCTGTCTCAGCAGAAAGAGTAAGGAACCCTGAACCCAGCCCTCCTTGGTTCTCGGAAGCCCTGTAAATGCAGGCAAGGCTGGCCAGCGAGGGAGACCTGGCCAGGGTGGCTCGTCAAGGCTTCTCTTGGCCTCTGGGTTTCCAGAACTCTGAGGCTCTGGGGAGAAGGGGCAGAAACCGGTCTTAGGCTGGGTCGCCCCTCACCGAGGAGTGGCCGGGTGACAGGGCCTCACGGTCCCCCCACCAGACGAGTCCAAGTCTCCCCACCCGTGCAGTGCCCCGGGGACAAAGTCAAGCCTGCAGGAGCTCAGAGAGCACCCCACACTCGGCGAGGGCATCGCTTGCTCTGACAGCCCCTCTGGCCTGTGTGCAGTCCTAGACTGAAACGGCAGGACACCGGCTCTGCCCTCCGTGAGGCCCGCTTGCCGAGGCACAGAAGCAGCGACCACAGAAAATGCCCCCCGCTCTTCCTGGGGAGGGGACGTATCCAAGCCTCCCTTCCCTCTTCAGCAGCGCCTTTAGGAGCAGGACAGGCCATCACGGACAAGCTCCCAGGATTCCTGGGGCATGGTGTGAGCCGGGAGGGGCAGGGGCAGCCATGGACTTGGGGCTCCCTTCCAGCGCCCGGGGGGCTGACCCGGAAGTAGCTCTGACTATGAACCAGCATGCAGATGGCAGACTCAGAAGTGTTTGTCAGTGGCCCCCCCAGGATTAAAGGAGCCCTGATGAGTAGGTCTGCCCACTCCTGTGGAGTGAACAACCCCACTCTGGCCGGTGTCCGGCAGCCAAGCTGATGTCACTGAACACGGACCCAAGAAGAGAGCCCCCATACCTCCAGGACAGCCGGGCGCAAGGCCACCACCCCCAGGGCCTCGGGCAGCAGCAGGCAGGAAGAGGACGTCCCGGGTGACCTCACGGACATGGAGCTCGGGGGAAACCATCAGCTGGGACTCGGCGACAGCCAGTGGTCAGCGGTCAAGCAGAGAGGCACGCGGCAGAGACGGACGGGAAAGGATTCTGGGGACCTTCAGAGGGGTGGGAATAGTTTCTGCTCTCATTGTGGTTGTGGATATGCTGGTGTAAATTTGTCAAAACTCACTGAAACAGTCCCAACCATGACTGCTTTCTGTTGTGTATAAATCTCTTTTCCTTGCTCAGTCGCCAAGATGTGTTGGCCTCTATGTGACCCCATGGACAGTGGCACGCCAGGCCTCCCTGTCCCTCACCATCTCCTGGAGTTTCTCCAAGCTCATGTCCATTGAATCCATGATGCCATCCAACCATCTCATCCTCTGTCGCCCTCAGAAGGTGTGTATATTATCTCAATAAAGTTGACTTTTTAAAACACGATGCCGCTCCCAAGCAGGAGAGCTGTGAACAGGCTGACTCCTAGGTCTGGGCCAGGGGCGGGGTTGAGACCTAATGCCCGTCATTCTGAGGCCAGAACGTCAGTCAGAGCAACTTAGCAAACTTGTCCCAGGCTCTCCCTGCCGCTTTCCAGTGTTACTACTTCTAAGATCTGCTGGTGAAAACCTTTATCTTTTTGGTCTCCAAAATCACTGCAGATGGTGACTGCAGCCATGAAATTAAAAGACGCTTGCTCCTTGGAAGAAAAGCTATGACCAACCTAGACAGCACATTAAAAAGCAGAGACATTACTTTGCCAACAAAGGTCCAGATAGTCAGGGCTATGGTTTTTCCAGTGGTCACGTATGGATGGATGTGAGAGTTGGACCATAGAGAAAGCTGAGCACCGAAGAATTGATGCTTTTGAACTGCGGTGTTGGAGAAGACTCTTGAGAGTCCCTTGGACTGCAAGGAGATCCAACCAGTCAATCCTAAAGGAAATCAGTCCTGAATAGTCATTGGAAGGACTGATGCTGAAGCTGAAACTCCAATACTTTGGCCACCTGATGTGAAGAACTGACTCATTGGAAAAGACCCTGATGCTGGGAATGACTGAAGGCAGGAGGAGAAGGGGACGATAGAGGATGAGATGGTTGGATGGCATCACTGACTCAATGGACATGAGTTTGAGCAAGCTCCAGGAGTTGGTGATGGACAGGGAGGCCTGATGTGCTGCAGTCCATGGGGTGACAGAGTTGGACACGACGGAGTGACTGAACTGAACTGAACTGAAGTTCTGCTGGAATGATGAAAGGAGAGATGCATCAGGCTCCTGTGCTGGGCCCCTCACCTGCCCTCCCTAGACATCAGGCCACCCTGGGCGGGGCCTCCGTGATTCACCTGGACCTCACCTCAACTCTGTCTCTGCTCCCAAGCCCTGTGTTAGCTTCCTGGGGACATTTCCACAAAGTTCCACAAACCCAAGGACTGAATCTACAGGAATCTAACCTCTCACAGTTGGGGAGGTCAGAAGTGCAGGATCGAATTGGGGCTGGGTCCTCCATAGGTCTGAATACAAACCACCTCAGGGCCCTTCCCAGCTGTGGGCAGTGTCTGCAGCCCCTGGGGGGCCTTGCCCTACGGGCACACCACTCCGCTCTCTATTTGACCCTCATGTCACCTCTCTGCACCTGGATCCTCTCCTCTTAGAGGGATGTTGATGCGGGGTGGGGCGGGCCCCTGTCTCACCCTCACACCAAGATGATCTGAGGCCCTTGACTTGGTTATTAGTCTGTAGAGACAGGGGCTTCCCAGGTGGCACTAGTGGTAAAGAACCCGCCTGCCAGTGCAGGAGACATAAGACATGAGGGTTCCATCACTGGGCCAGGAAGATCCCCTGGAGGAGGGCGTGGCGACCCACTGCAGAGACTCCTATGGGCAGAGGAGGCTGGCGGGCTGCAGTCTGAAGAAACTGAATCAACTTAGCATGCGCATTGCAGAGACTATGTCCAGACGAGGTCACGTGCTAAGCTTCCAGGCAGACAGGAGTCTGCGTGAGACTGTATTCAACTAACTGCACCCTGAAACTCTATCTCCAGCCCAGATCCTTCTCTGGAACCCCAGACATCGGGAGTCCGCTCCCATTCAGAACACTCACAAGGATCTCAAGTATTTCCTGTCTAAAATCAAACTCAGTTTGCCTTCCATAAATTTGCGCATCCACAAGCTCATTTCAGCACCAGGCAACCAAACCCCTTCAACCCATGTGGTTCAGGCCACAGACCTTGGTTCAGTTCAGTTCCGTCGCTCAGTTGTGTCTGACTCTTTGTGACCCCATGGGCTGCAGCACCCCAGGCTTCCCTGTCCATCACCAACTCCCGGAGCTTGCTCAAACTCATGTCCATCGAGTCAGTGATGCCATCCAACCATCTCATCCTCATCCATGGAACCCTCCGGGCAAGAATACTGAAGTAGGTTGTCCTTCCCTTCTCCAGAGGATCATCCTGACCCAGGAAGAGCACCCGGGTCTCCTGCATTGTAGGCAGATTCTTTACCATCTGAGCTACAGGGAAGTCACAGACCTCGGAGGCGCCCAAATTCTCTCCCAGTCCCCATCATGCGCGCCAGCGAATCCCCTTGGCTGTGTCCTTGGGATTAACCTGAACCCTGTATCCCAAATCTCACGGCCTGACTCCTCCCCTGCTGACCACCGATCACCTGGGCCAGCACTCGCATCTTCCAAATGGCCCTGCCCCAGTCCTGTCTCCACTCGGCAGGCCCAGTGGGCCTTTCATGATTGTTCAGGTCAGGTCTGGATTCCGCTCGAAACCCTCCAGGGCGCCCCCAGCCCCAGCCTGCATCCTGACCGTGACCTACAGTGTTCACATGGGGAGGGGGGCCCACCGCGCCCCCCCTCCAGGCTTTACTTCCCCCCATTGTTAACACCCAGGACTCTGACATCCGGCCTTCTCCTGGAGTTTGCTCAGGATGTTCCTGACTCATGGCCTTTGTCCTTCTGGCTTCTCTGCCAGGATGTGCCCCCAGCCCCAGACAACTTCGGGCGGGCGCTCCCCAGTGAGGCGCCTGCTCCAGAGCTCCTGCCTCCCTGACCACCCACGGGGCTCCCGCTAGCCGGCTCCAGCCCTGCTTCATCGCCCCACGGGCCACGTTTCCTGTCTGCGGCCACCAGGGTGCTGTTTGGCTCCTGTGGACGCCTCCCCGGCGGGCAGGTGCTCCAGAAAGGCCTGCCGAGTGAACAAGCGAGGGAAGTCGCGACGGGCGTGGAAAATCTGAGGAGTGTGGACTTTCAAAGCTTATCTCCTCACGCATCCATCTTCAGACCTGATCAC